TGTATGAATTTTGTGATGGATAATGTGCAATAGAATATAGGTCTGGCTAAACATATGCTTTTGCCGAGGGTCTCAAGCAGGTTAACCGCCAAAAAACGTATGCCGAAATTTTCACAATCTCTGAATTTATTTTTGCTAATGTATGACTAGTAAAATGAAAAAAAAATTAAATAAATCTTTGTGTTATTTTCATGAATTATTATTGTGATCTACCAGTAGCAAAATGGCTGAGATTGCTTAAGACTCATTGTTTATTCTGGACTGAATTCCTATCGACTGAGTAGGCGATTGGTAGACGACTATCGACTGGTTGCAGAAGGATTTGAGAATTTGCAGAGCATAGCGTGAATAAAAGTCATTTTTTCTTAAATAAGATTCATTCATTCCTCTTATATGTGTTTGTGATTCACAGTTAGCATACCGGCTTTTGGTTCTGCCAAACACTGGTCTCTCCACAGATTCCTTGCTTGACTTTGGAAGTGAAGGTATAATTTATTTTCATGTATCCCTGTTTCCTAAAACACTCCAGAACTCAACTTCTATTGCTCGAAATAAAATCATGGACAATAACTGACCACCAGACTTGAACAGATCAACTGGGTCTCCCTTCAATGGTCTCATTGCAAAATAGGTAGCTTAAAGGATCACCTTCTGTTTCATCAGTATTTGGTGAGAATAAAGTAGAGAAGCCACTTTAACCATAACATTGAACGTCTTTTGAGGGTAGGCATTTTGAAGGAAGGTGTGTGTGTGTGTGTATTTAATTACGGCAAAGCACACTAGGGCTATCTGCTTAAGGGGAGGGATGCCTTTCGTGGAGGACTTTCTAAGGGAAACTGGCTCGTATACACGTTACACATGGGGAAAACCACGAAAACACCCATGCAGCCAGCCCGTTCGCGGGATTCGAACCTCGGTGTATTTAATTAATTATGGCAAAGCACACTAGGGCTATCTGCCTATGGGGAGGGATGCCTTTCGTGGAGGACTTTCTAAGGGAAACTGGCTCGTATACACGTTACACATGGGGAAAACCACGAAAACGCCCATGCAGCCAGCCCGTTCGCGGGATTCGAACCTTGGACCGAACTACCAGTGTTCAGCGACTTTACCGCTCGGCCGCTGGTGGGCCTTTGAAGGAAGGATATGAAAGGAAAGACTGATTTTATCAATCGGGTAAACGTCCTTAGATGGTATCCTACTTACCGAATTTCAGATAATCCAAGTTTTACTGTATATTCACTGTATAGCAACTACGTAATCAGACTGTACTAAAAAATAGATTACAGAGCTTACACTGATGCAGCTTCCTATCTTAATACAAGCACGACAGGTAATGAAAGAGAAAACTTACATAAATTTGTTTTTGACATGTTTTTTAAGAGTGTATTTCTTTTCCACGTCAAAATAACTTTCGATTTTAGGCAACTTTAGTTTTGATAAAGGGAAAACAACTACAAGGATATAAATCTGGCGAACATGAGGGTGACTATTCAGATACTTATTTTCAGGGTAGAGCGGCTCTGCGAAATGGTTGTTGACCGGTGGGAAGATTCATTTCATGCTGTTATAGGTTTCAGACTGAAAAACATAAGATTTAAAATCGTCTGCTTAATTATCAGCTATTAAGTCAGCTACTCAGCCAACCGTTTAAAATTGCAGCACTGTTTTGACACATGACTTTGTAGGATAAATCTAATGCCACTTAATCTAAACATCTGTTTAATCTACCCAAGTGAATAACGCAGAGAAAAAGTATTCCTGTCTTTAGCTTAGACTGTCTATCTCGTCTTAGTTCTTATCAAATAACGTCAAGTGAATACAATAATAGCAAATGTAACTTAACGTTCATTTGCATTATGGCTTGCTAGTTTAAAAACTAATGCGTTAAGAAAACTTAAACTAATGCGCAAAAATCTTTTGAGCCTGAAAATATAACAATATTTGAAATATTCAAAACACTAAATAGTAAATTAAAGACTCATAGGTTGGTTCCTATTTTAAGCGGTTCTACTAGTGGCTGAGTGGTTAAAAACTACTAAATACTGGTAGTTTTTTCCGAAGTCAAACCCAGCAGAACTAAATGCCAGCACGGTTGGTTTTCGTAATTTTCCCCATGTGCAACATGAATGCGCGTCATTTTCCCTTACATAAGTCTTCCATAAAGGAACTTCTCTTCCTTAGGCAGATAGCCTCCATGTGCTTTGCCATGTTTAAATAACCAACCATCCTAATTTATGGACGATTTCTAAAAGCCACATTTCTAAACTATGAAACCCAGAAATTCACTGAAATCCAGTGTGGCTGTCCAGTTGCAGGAGTATGATGAATAGAAAGCAAATGGTTGAATTGCTAGTAATCTCTTTCTGAACTTAAACTGTCATTGAATAGTTTAAGCTCAGTTAATATGTTCTTTTTAGCAGCGTTACAGGAAGAGTAGAAATGCAGATACTAAAACTTTGATTGATATTAAATTTGCAATATGCTTACAGAGAAGTACGACTTTTTTAATTTTTTTAATTCTTTTACAAGAAAAGTTTTAATAAATTCTAATATAGCAAAATATGTAAGAGAAATAATAATAATCTTAAAATAAATGTAACAATAATCATCATTTGTTATATTACTAATGATTAGAATTCAAATCTTGACAAATCACAGTTTGACTTTTAAAAATGTGTTTATTCTAAAGCCTATGTTTAGATAAAATATATTTTGCTTATAAAAAAGGGTCTTTCATGATAATATTAAGGACCCTTTGAAATGTAAACAACAGTTTGTTTAAAAACATTGCAGTGCAGTTAATGACACGAAATATCTTTAGACATAAAATATCCCTGAAATCATTTTTCTTTGTTCCCTTTACTACACATAGAAAAGAAAAGAAAAATCCTATATTCTAGAATATTTTGCAGTTGTGAAACATTAAGGTAGTAGCAGACAGCATGTTTTATTTATAATATCTTTAATTTAATCTGAAAATTATATTTCTTTGCATATAAAATAAAGTAAAATAATAGATGATAAAATGGCAATGTAAAAATTTACTCTTATAGAAGGAAAAAAACTCTTTAAACTTTTCATTAATATTCTTTATAAATTGAAAAATATAGCTTTTTATGTATTACTGACAAATATTTATTAGGTATTATCAATGAAAATAAGAATAAAGAAATTCCTTGTGAAAAATTCTCAGTAAAAATTTATTTCGGAATTTAAGGCTCAAAATAATTATTTCAATTAAATTGAAGACTGTAATAACGTTTGTAAACAACATTTGGCATTATTATGGCTTATAACAAATATGTTAAAATTCAAAGAGCGCCAATATATAAATTCGCGCATATCTTGGGACATTTTGAGTAAAATCTCTAATTTGTTTGTATACCTAGAAGCAAACATCTACTTTTAAAGGATGGAATAAATTTTATGAGTCATAATTCAAATTTCAAATCCTAACAATTTATAAAAATTACTAAAAATTATACAAATTTAAAAAAGTTAATTGTAAAAAATATGCGAATTTTATTTGGATTAAATCTAAACTTGGAATTTTGAAAGGGGAATTCAAGTATGTGTTTAGAAAAGAGATGTTAATATATACATACCAAATTCAATTAACTCTGAGGAGCTGAAATTTTGAGAGCTAATTTTTAAATAACTACAAGAACGGTTTTTACAAAACTTGGCACCTTTAAATAATTTGAAAAGTAGGGTAGAAATAGGGAAAGCAAAAACGGTACTTCATTTCAGAAATGTTCGACTTTATGTCAAAATACCTATGTTAGAACAGTGCTAGATATAAATCCAATAAATATCATAAGTCAGGCTTTCGAGACATAAAAAACGCAAGTTTAATTTCTTCAATCGGCCCAGCAGAACAGGATATATGAAACTGTCCTTTTTTTTTTTCTGGAGTGGGTGTACATACTGACACAACATTATTGTTTCGATTTATTGTCTGTAACATGTCAGCATAAATAATGCAACTGAGGTTTGTGACATCAAATTAAAGTAGAATAATATCAATCAAGTATGTTACACTAGTATAATGAGATATGTTACGCTGGTATTTAGAGTAACACTGTAGTATAATGAGGTATGTTACACTGGTATTTAGAGTAACACTGTAGTATAATGAGATATGTTACACTGGTATTTAGAGTAACACTGTAGTATAATGAGATATGTTACACTGGTATTTAGAGTAACACTGTAGTATAATGAGATATGTTACACTGGTATTTAGAGTAACACTGTAGTATAATGATAGATCATTCAAATCTTCAGCAGTTATTAGTCAGATAATTAGGAATGGAAAAGATGTTTCTCTTAATCAATGGAAGATGAAAGATGTTTCCCATCTTAATCAATGAAAATTTCTGAATCAATATAATTTGAGAAATCTAAGTCATTCAGAACTTCATAAAAGTAACTCATAAGAAAGAATGATGCTGAAAGATATGACTTAGACCTTTTATGTTTAAAAAGCCACATTTATAAAACTCATTTCATTAGCCAGAAAACAACGTAACGCTGCAACTTGTATGGGTAACAACTGTGGTGCATGGCAATGTTTTATTCTCATTCAAAGTTAATTGAAAAACTTTTAATTAAATGTAATGATTTGCTCTATCATAAAAAAGCAGATAAATACATATATTTGTTTATTTACTTTTATAAATCAGTTTCTAAGTTTCAGTGTGCATAAGTGCAAGAAAGTACTTGACGTTTTAGAGAAAGTCCTTTTGAGTATACAGTTATTCTGAAAGTGGTCTAATAAATAAATTTGTTTGAAATTACTATTTTGTTATAACCTCCATTTTTATAACTGAATAACTTGATAAATGATAATTATCGAAATCGTTTAATAAAGGGGTTTATTTGAAAAAAATATGTATACTTAATTCCATATTAAAGTTGAATAGACTGTATTAAACATTTTGATTCACATTGAATAGCTTATAAAAATTAGAATGTTTGCTTATCCTCGCACATAGGTATAAACGCTGCTGAAATTCTCGAGCTCTTCGGTCGCATGTTCTTTGACTTCTGTCAAGAATCTGGTTACGATAAAATTTTGCAAGTTCTTGGATCTTCACCAAGAGATTTCTTGCAAAATTTAGACGCCTTGCACGACCATCTGGCAACAATTTATCCTGGAATGCGAGCACCCTCCTTCCGATGCACTGAAAGACCAGAAGATGGAACTCTTATTCTTCATTATTATTCAGAAAGAGAAGGATTGGAACCTATTGTTATCGGCTTGGTGAAGGTAAGATGTTATACCGAATATAATACATGTACTTTAGTTACACTCATTCGCACTAACTGAAATAAAAAGTGCTTCTTTCCCAATCAATAAGAATGTAAAATGTGCGGTTTTTGTTCTTTCATTCTGTATTAAATTGTTTCCCTTGCCATAAACCAAAATAAAAAAATTAACAATTTGGATTTAATTCTTCGTTCTAAAGTGTCAAAAGTATTTCGCTTTCATTTTTTATTTCAGCAGGAAATAGGAATCAGTTAAGGAAAATTAAATTTTTTTATCAAAGGAAAGCAAGTAATTAATATCCTTCATAAATTTCTAAAACATTGCCTTAAAAAACGTAAATAAGCATTATTTTAGAGTCATCTTGCATAAAGATCATATTGGAAGGAAATACTTTGTAAACATAAAGTACTAACTTCCTAACGTAATGTTATTTTAATTCAGCATTTTAACAAACATTTTAAGGAGTGCTTTCTTTTCCCTGCAGCAATTTCAAAAGCAGTTAATTAAAGAATTTACAAGAGGGATGGTTAAACATTCTGTTTGGGCGATTCTCCGAAGAGTATAAAGGTCTCTTTTAAAAATTCATGTCTCGAAAATTCAAGTGTAACCCTCCCTCCAAAGCTGCAAATAGCTGAACATCGAGAGCAACTTTTGCTACATATTTAATCGACTCACGCTTTCGCATGTAGGTCACAGTTTTAGTGCTCTCCTCGGGTCAAAATATATCTGAATGTTTAGACTTATTCTTTGCATAATAATGCCGTGAAATGATCCTATATTTGTATAAACATAGCTTTCTTTTATATCAAGCAAATGTCAGGTCAATCTTAAACGGATACTTTAATGTTTAATGTTGATACAGATGGAGTAGTTTTGTATTGGGTAATTTAGTTTTAATGAAAGTACATGACGACTACATTTCTAAGACTACCGCCCGTGAAAGTGAGCAATATCACTTAGAATAGCGCTGCTTACGCTTTTTTCAGCCATGATACATTTTTATCGATGAGATACTTTTCACAGCCTCAGATACTAAATGTAAAAGAAAAATATAAGAATAAAAATTTTTACACAAATGATTTTACTTCTTTCTGCAATATACATACGAAAAAAAGTACTTTTAAGATTTATTTCAAATACACAAAAATTAATTAAAGAAAATCAATGCTTCATGATATGGATATGCTTGGTTTTTGCTGAATAACAAATTAAATACTGATGCAATATTTATACTATTGGACGTAAAGTGTCTTCATCGTTTTCCAGCGCTGACCGGTATTTAAATTTAATAAGCGTTAAAGATGAAGAAAAGTCGTTTCACATACGTACGTGATGCTGAATGTCAGAACATTAACTAATGCCACTTCAGAAACTGCGGTAAATTCAGTTCTAGCTCCGATTAAGAATTCAGTAGCAGCGATAGCTCTACAAAGTCCTCTTTGGCTTTATATGGCAGGTCATTAATCTCACTAGTGTCAATCAAACACGGTTTTTGAAATTATGATTCGATATAAGGTATTAGCAAAGCTACGTTTCTAGGTTATTTTGAGTGTTAATAATAATAATTATTATGTGTGTCTACGGTTTTTAAGTGTTAATAAAAGTTAATAAGAATCTTTACAAGTTTTTTTTTTCAGTTATAAAACGTTTCCCACCTTGTTCTTCTAAATGTTGATCTTTTATATTTTGTCATTCGAAGTTATACAGCTACTTCTTTCTTAAAAAGACAAAGTAAGATCCTTTAGTTTCTCGAAAATATCTCGCAAAGAGCACAGTTTTGACAGCCATAAGTCATTTTGAAGAATAAAAGCAAGATTAGATATTTGTTTGGCTAAAAATATAATAGTTTCGTCTTTTAATAACAATAATCTTAAATTTCGTCCTCTTGAGATCCCTCTTATTTCTGCTTGCAATAATTAATTTTTGTATTCGGAGTCCGTGTCTTTACATAAATATGAAATAAACAGCTGTTAAAGGTACGACTCTTAATAAATTTTATAATTTTGACAGAATTTTGAAGTACCTCGCTTAATTCCGTTGCTAATTTTGTTGTTGCAAAAGCATCTTAATCGATCAGGTAGTGTATAATAGTTGCATGACTTTACCAACACCTTTAGCAAATTATTTAAAACCAATATTTTCATCCCTCATTGCTTTTGAACCATCTTTGCATACACCAATGCAATTTTTCTATTATTTCTCAACTTTAGAATACATATCTTCTCTTATACACTACCCGACATTGAAAATGTAACACCAAGAAGGACCGGCCAGAAAGGGATGAAAGTCGGAAGACAAAGAGAGATGGTAACGAACAATAAGTGATCTTTATTTCGAAATGATATGCATAATACAGAGCGAGAACAGTGTTTGGTTCAGTAGGTTGTAGGACCACCTTGGACGGCGATACACGAAGCAATACGTCTAGATACAAAGTCAGTGAGACTACGGATAGTGTACAATGGTGCTGCGTTATCGCGCGGTGGGGCGTTTGGCAATTGCTGCCGGATTGGACCTGTCTCCACAACAACGCCACACTCGTAAGCGGCGACTATCAATTGGAGAAACAGAAGCGTGACTCATCTAAGAGCACGACCCTGCGCTATTCCTTCGTCCGCATAGCTGGAGCCCTGCACCATTGCAAACGCTGGCATCTATGATGTGGGGTCAGTAGCAGTCTTCTTAACGGACGCCACGAGTGCAGATTACTAGCCACCAATCGACGGCAAATGGATCTTATCTACATGGGAACATCCAGAATGTCTTGAACATGCTTCAGAATGGCGGTAGAAGTGGCTTGCGGATGCGCCAACAGCGGCACGAAAACTGAATATTCTGCGGGTTCCTTTCCTTATATTCTTTCAACGTCCGCTGGAGAGCTGCGCATTTCACATCATTCGCACAATACGATGAAGTGCGTCTACCCTGAAATTTGCATAATTCTCGGGTACTCCTTTTTGGTGTTGCATTTTCAGTGTCGGGTAGTGTATGTTATTCCAAAGGATAACAGAATAGTAATTCTTCCTTGGTGCTTTCTTTCTAAATATATTTGTCATATACTAACAACTTTTTTGAATTATCAGTTGTTTTGTCTAAATGAATTGTAGGTTTTGAACTTGAGTCCAGTAGTAAGCTCATAAGATATTGTCTCCTTCCTTTCTGCATGCTTTCGTGTGTAATTGGAAGAATACTCGACGCGTATTCGAGAGATCCAGAGTTCGAGTCCCGGCAAAATCACTGCACATTTTTCACGTATATTGCTTCAAAATAGTCTTATAACTCTACAAGTAGCGCCCGAACGAAAAGGTGGTGGCCGATAATTCGTCACCAACAGGATTTGGCGACTAGGTCCCCTAATCCCCAGTCGCCCTTTAAAAGGAAGAGTATATAAGGTATTTTTCCCTCTTTTCTGCATGCCTTCGTGGTAATTGGAAGCGTACTCGATGCGTATCCAAGTGGTGTAGCGTTCAAGCCCGGCGAGGGGCAATGCACATTTTCACGTCTCCTGCTTAAATAACTTAGCAGCTCTACAAGCTACTCGAACTGGCTCTTGTAAATTTCAGAAAAATCTCTTGATAGCAGCAAAGGAATACTTCAAAGTTCGTCGCTATATTTACTTCCATGAAGTATTTTTTTTTTTTTCATTTTAATAGCAGCAAGTAATACAAGATCTCCAAGAGTATATGGCTTTTGATTTTTAGCAATCAGGTATAAAACTTCGTATGATGTGAGTAAATACTTTTCGCTAACAGTTATATAGTTCTCAAAATATTGCTTTTTTTGCTTTATTATTTATTATTATTATTATTTATTATTATTAGCCTAAATGTTGTTGCAGATTTAAACAATGACGTTGTTCATTATCATCACAGTTGTTGAAAGTAAAATCAAATTGGAGAATCCGCACCTTATATCCCGAATTTTGATTACTAGAGTCTTTGTAGCATTGAAATATCATTACTTTTGTCATTAGCTTTGATATTCAAATTCAACCATTTATTCACGGGGAAAAGACGCTGGTATCGCAAAATATAAATAAAATAACATCTTTCATAATAATTATTTATATAAATTAAAAAATTGGTAGAGTAAAACAATACGTACAACATTGTATTGCGATATACACACATGCTCCGATGACACAGAAACTACTGACTATACTGAACAAGCGTTACCAGTACACTAGTCGCAACGTCACCGATTTATTCTCGGGACGCCTGTGTGGCACAGGGCGTTATGTACTGCTCATTTACGGGATATTTTGAATCTAGAATAAATTATATGCTGAAACTGCAATGCGACATCGCTATTATGAAGCACTTCGTGGTATTTTCAATATATGAATATAACTTGTACGTCAACTTGGCCAGTATTACGATTTTATAATTGTGTTGTATAGAAAGTGTAATATATTAAGGATAATGAAGTGATTAAGATTAATATTTCCTTAATTTCACTGACCTAAGTTTTCGTGACCCTAACATTTCGCTGTGCTACTCCATTTCTGTGTGCGACCCGTAGTTTAAACAACGCTGACTTAAAACATATACACTCTTTTGGAAAAAAAATCGAAGCACCATGAAGGAAGCGGTTGTTTTTAATGAAGTTGAATATGTGTATAGCTCATGCACAGATAATAAAATTATTAAAAAATCAAGGTCATAGTACCTGTTCAAGGCTCACAGTCATCCACTGAGTGTTCAAATTAGTAGTCGGTCGAACCGCCCCTGGTGGCAATGCATGCTTAAATTCGTCCAGTCAAGGAGTGTTAGAGGTTCCTAATGTCATCCTGCGACACATTCTACCAGGCATTCATCAAATGTCGCTCTAGATCTGCGATATTTTGTGGTGGCCGAATCTGGCGGCCTACCTTGTCCCAGACAGGCTCAATTGGTGAAAGGTCTGGTGACCTTGCTGGCCAAGGAAGGGTAAAGGGTACCGCACGGAGACAATCCAGATATATGCAAGCGGTATGTGGCCTGGCATTATCTTGTTGAAAA